CCCCCCAGCCCCCCCCGCTCCCCCCAAACTTGAGTTTTGTGTGCTTTTGCATCTATTGAAAGTAGTTCTGTCAGATGCTGCTGTAAACGCCCAAGTGATTCCTAGTGGGGCGGCCGTGCGTTGGGTGCACCCAGGCAAGCATCGATCGAGGCTTGGGAAAGGCGCCGGGAGCACACCATCGTGCTGTGCCGCCCCCGATGACTTGGTGACACTCATAATACAAGTTTCTTATACAGAATTAGAAGCTCTTCTAACTTCTCCATTTGAATTGGACCCGGAGTATTTAGCAGTTGCAAGGCCGCGACGCCTCGAGGTCGGAGTAGCTCAGCATGAACCACTGTTTATTTGGGTGGCTCTTCTGTCGAACGTTGACTTTTCGTTTGTATCGTTTCCGGTGAAGCTGATGGTGCATTTATGTGTATTGAGTTCTTCGTCTGCTGCATGGACAATTGGCAGTCCCCGCTGGAAATTGCTCCCATTACAGTTCCGATGGCTGGGACTTGCTAGTGTTGAAGGCTTCTTCTATGGATGCATTTGAGCAGAAATGGGCCACCAAGGAGCTTTGTCCTACGTACTCCTGCTGCTGATCATCAGTATCCTGGCAGATGCATTTTCTGTTACTGCACGAAAGCTCCAGCGACAGCATACACTGTTTGGTAAGCCTACCCAACTGCTACTGTGCCTGCCTGATGCATAAATAGGGCAGTATTATGTAGGTATTAGTTGGTCTTCTGCAAGTCAGGTGAGCGGAGGAGATATATCTCTACGGCACAACTCTCCTGACGTCTCAGCGCTTGTAGTTGCAGTTGGGCGCCGGTGTGTCTGCGCGCTCTGCTGACATACAGGTAAATGCACAGCAAAAGATTTACTTAGAGGGGAGGGCCCAAGTCCTTTCAGTTTCCTTCAAGAGGAAACAGCGACACCGGCGTCGGATGAGGAGTGCATGCAGCTGCTGTTAGAGCAGGACAGCCTCTTTTCATCTGGTCTGACCAATGTGACGACTGAGGAGGGGGAAAAGAGTAGGTCAGCGTTGGAGGGATTGCTCAGTTGTCCTTGTTGGCAGTGTAGCTGGTTGTGGTGTGCCCAACTTTGTACGTACAGTGCACAGGTGCATGCGCTTACCTCAGGCGAGCACATCACAGATTCCTCCACTACAGAGGAGGCCGTTGCCGTGGCGACAGAACTCCTTCAAAGGGAACGCTCAGATGGAGTTGCCGTTGAACTGGAAAGCCTCAAGAGAAGCATTTCGCTGTTCAGCAATGCAGCAAAAGACTCGACTGTCGTCGTTCTAGGGCTAGGGCTTCAAGTTTATTCTCTTGCGAAGGTCAGAGCGTAAACAGAAGTATGCTGCGCACTAAGTGGCAACTAGCGTCTGCTCCCCACTCGTTATGTTCTTTTGGTGCCATTTTCTTTTGTTGTATTATTGCTCTTATTCAATAGAAGCCATGCGTGGAAGTGCGGACTGTGGTGCGGATCGTTGTCCGTTGCAGATGGCGAAAAGTGTTATTGTAGTCGAGTTTGACTACAATATCTGCAGGGAATTTCTTAATTCTAAAGCAGGTGGATGCGCCATGCAGCAAAATGTGCACATTTACTGCCCGTATCCCGCCTCCAACTCGAACAGTGACACCGAGGCAAACAAAACGCAGAAGTACTTCAAAGCTGCTGAGGATCTTATTGGTGATGTAAGGAGGGGCGAAAGCCCTATGTTCTTAGCCCAGCATCACTGCGCTGACGGCATCCCTGGTTCTGGTGTTTTGCTCCTTTCGGGTTCAGAGAGCTGCACTGGTTGCACGACGATGCAGTATTCTGTGTTGCCGCATGTGGCTCGCAGCTCATGAAGCAACAGTTTGGGGATGTGCCTGCCAGCGCGTTGGCCATCTTGGGGAGTTTCCCTGTGGCGAAGTTGATGTTGATGGAAAGGTTCATGGACCAGTCCAGTGTTATCCTAATGCGCAGCCGAGTGACTGCTGAAGGCCTAAGCGCCATATCCGGCTTCTTTAGGGCCCTCGCCGTTTTTGAGCCAGACTATCGCTCGTCTTCGCATTCTGTGAGTTAGGAGCCACATCCGTTCACGCGTCGTCTTTCGGTGGATCAAGATTGTTTAGTTGGTCCTGTACGGATGCCTTGAAGAGGGCGCCCTTCTCTGGCAAGCATAATTATGCGGGGAGCTTGCAATGGGTGTTGCGTCTTCAGACAAAAACCCTCATGTTGCTACAAAGGCTGTTTACCCCACCAGCGCACGGAGATAAATGGACAGAGTTCACAACACGAGAGTGGGAGCTGCGGGATAGCACAGCGCCTCTAACGCTTTGGAGCACAGTCCGGGAGGCGATTCAGCCGATTGCCGCCGATGAAAGCATCAGTTTTTGGCAACGCGAAGCCCTACTGAACTACTTGGAAGTGTTCGCGCATGCAGTCAGAATAGGTTCTGACAAGGACTGGGAGGATATCACATCCGATTTAGAGGCAATTCTTTATGTTGTTGGCGATGGGGAGAAGGCTGACATTGTGATAGTGAGACATACAGCCACTGCACATGTGCAGCTGAATACTGGCTCGTTCTAGAATGGAAATCAGGATCCCGGAAGCAGCGTAGGCGGTTGAGTGAGTAAACTGTGTATCCTTTGGATGTGCTGTTTGTCAGGGAAAGGCGAGTGCTTTTGCTCTTCGTTTGGCATGGAAAGTTGCCAATATGTCGGGGCTACAGGAGTACTTTCAACTCCTGCTGGGTGCCCTGTCGCAGATTTACAGCGAGGACAAACCTTTAATCCACGCAGTAATTTGCAAATTAGTTTCTGGTACAGGACGTCTCATCGCATCGCGTAAGTCTTCCCTTGCATTTGAAGGAACGAGATAGGCCAATAGCGCCAAGCTTCGCCTTCTGCCTAGAGGTTTCGCAAGGAGGGCGAACCATTATGGTGACCGCTTGTTCGTGTGTGTTCCAGCGAATATTTTGGACAAAGTGAAGGATGCAATCGAAGAAACTTGTGAGTTAGCTGAGAAGAGCTCCATACTTTTCCTGGTGGCCTTGCGCCTAATATATGTAGGGATGACCCGTGAGGAGGGTATGGTTGAGTGCCTGCGGATCCTCGTGAAGCTAAAGGAAGATGCCCCGGTCGTTGATACCTGGGCGCTCGTGGGAGGGGTGGGAAAGTGAGAAGAAGAGCGTCTTGGCCGGCTTCCGGCTCCGTTGGTTCTGAAGGCGTTTCTGGAGGTACTGAAATTCGAGCAGCGCACAACGACGTGCCCGGTGAAGGCCGCTTTTGTTGTGTTTCACATCACTCCTCGCGTTGTAATCAGTGTTCCGCTGGAGGCCTGACATGAAGTCGTTCGATCTAGGTGCTTAGTGCTTCCAGAGGTGACGTGATGGGTGGACATTATAAGAAGGCGCGCATCTATACAGCGAGTTTCCTTACAGAAGTGATGGTGCGATGCAGCAGCACATTTCGTTCGTCCTTGTACTTCAACTGCGCCAGCACTGCGTTGGCTGGCATTCACTCCATTATCGGCGTCGCTGCCCGTATAAAGTGGCGGCCTGTAATGAACGATTAAAGACCATTACAGGAGATTTTGTTGTTTTCCAGACTATGAACCGCTGCATTGTTTCCCGTATGCGCAGGGCAGTCTCCCTACGGGACACTTCACGTGCTCATACAAGTGAAGAGCATCTTGTACTTTGTGGCACTTAACGCACTAATATGATGAATGAAAAGCATATTGTGTGCAGCGCGCTTCTTTGTTGGCATACCAAACGTATTTGCACGCATTTGCAGTGCCTTCACCCGCATCGTTCATTAGTTACACAGGCTTTCAGTTGCAGCGGGTGCACACAAAATATGCTCCGGTTTTAAGGGAACTTCGCTCTCGCGCAGGATGTGCTGCCGCCTGTAAAAAGAGCAGTACCTCTTGTTGGATGCGCCCAGCTTGGATCATGATTCACTTGCTAGGGCGAAAAAGGACCTTTCCGGCTAACGAGCGTATCTCAGTAGCCCTGCTCAACAACTTTGCGTCCCCAAGGAAAAACGATGAAGCACTGGAGTTGTTTACCTCCAGGTTAGGCTTTGCCTCTTTTCAGGAAGAGAACTGGAGGGAGAGGTTTGATCAATATTGCTGCAGACCGTATGCAGCAACGGCCACATTCGTCAAAGGCAATACGCTATACTGCTCTGCCTAAGCACAAATATACCAGTAATTTTCTATTGTTCCAAGTCTGGTAAAAACCTAACCAGCGTCAGGCGGCTAAGCAGCATATGCAAGGTGAATAAATGCAAATGCAAACTCACGCTCCAACACAGATGACGCGTGATGCTTGAGGGGAGATTTCAGGCATCACGCTCTGCGAACCCCGTGGAACAGCTCAGTCAACTGGGTTTCCCGTATGCCTGTAAGACGGCGCTGCAGCAGCTCACAAAGTGTACACACCTAAGTGCTCCCATCCAATATGAACTAGGCAGCAGGACGCCCCCAACAAAGGTATACAGCACCAGTAAATGAAACGGCCGCACACACACACACACACACACACACACACACACACACACACACACACACACACACACACACACAGTGGAAAGCACCGAGTAAGTGAAGGTGAGTTACGAATACAGGGTTCACCTGCCAGGAATCAGATACGTCCCTGCAGAGGTGGCGACAGCAATCTCTGCACACGAACTGATGTACCAAGGCCATGCTTTAGGGAGTTGAATGGGCTGCTTAAGCTCCATTCCCACGGAATGACTTTCGTGGCGGCCTCCAAAAGATTCTGTTGTTTTGGGCAATATGGGGGCCGTCTGCCCTGCCACCCTTCCCAAGCATTCATTCACAGCATCCGAGTAGTTATTGACGATGGAGGAGGGGAAAGATCCGTCGGCCCCAAAGAGAATTGTCAAAATAAACACAGACTCGTTGTAAGAACTGACAATACAGTGGTCCGCGAAACGCCTGAAACTGACGCATTTTCTGAGCTTGGAATTCTCCTGCAACAACGCCAGCGAAAGAAACGCACAGATTGCACCCCGGTGCGCACTCAGCTACCGAGTAAAGGTCTCAGTCCATACACGCACACCCCGACAACCCAGCGCCTCCCATGGCAAACGTGAGTCCCACCCCTAGAGAAAATAACGCTTGCGCCACGTCCCATATAGCCCATGCAAGCGCCGGTGTCAATCCAGGGTAAAGGTTGCGGTATTGCCAAATTAGACAGTCCAGATGCAGCAGCTTCCGTCGAGGCGTCGACGCAGACTCTAAGAACCGATACCACTGGGCAGCAAGCCTGATGAAGAACAACGTCTTTCGCGCAGTCGTTGCAACAATCTTCGCGCGGCACCTATCCCATCGATTCATGAATTAAGGGAATGAAGCACAAGAGCTGAGAACCAAATAAGTACCAAGTGGAAGCAACTGAAACACAGCAAGGATGTAGGTGCATAACCATCTCCTCCTTAACATGAACCCCCAGCCATGAAGCCTACGCCTGTCCAAAGAGACAGAAACAGGCGATGACGTGGGTTTAAACAGAGAGCTCCTCACCAGTGCGTGCTGAATGTGAGTTTGATGATGGCGTCAACGACGCGTCTTTCGTTCTTTTCCAGCAAGTGCCATTTTCTCTTCATGATGCGCAGCAGTTCATGTACTTCAAGCCGCTGCAGCAACTCGTAGGCGCCGGCATCTGTGGAGGTTTTCCAGCAGAACAAAGCTCTCAGAAATTCTCACACGAAACGCATACTGCCTGCTTGCTAAGCACGATGCAAGCGTTCATGCTGTTGTGCTTCCGAGCAGCATCCATAACGCATTTCTCACCTGAGTCAATACTATTAGTACAGCCCTCATGACTCTGCCTGTCTGAACAGCCTGCCACACTCGACAGGCTATTTGCGGGGGAGTGGTCTGAACCATCGCGCAACTCCGACTCAGGGTTGTCTAAACTGTTGAAGACAACCTCAAGGAGCGTTTCTACGGCCAAGGCTCGCCGTCGTTGGCTGGCTGTCCACATAGTGCGGCAGAAGCAGCATGTACCACTCCGCGGGGCCTGCAGAACCTGCACTGCAACTTGGGCCGAGGCAAGACCGCTCGTTTGTTTAAAAAATGAAGAAGCCACGGGAGCAGCAGCTGCCCCACCAGCGACTGCAGACGCAGCACTTGATTCGTGCCCATGCGGCGTATCTTCGCGCAACTGAGTTAACAGCCGAGCCCATATTGTATGCAGGTTCATGCTGCTTGCGGCCACTGCTGCCTGTTTACATCCATACACTTCGCCTGAACCCCGCGCAGTCTCAGGGTACAGTTGCTGCGGGGCCAGCGGTTGCCTCCATGTGTCGGGAGCTCTTTCATCTGGAATGGGAGAGTCTGAGGTGCTGCTGCTGTCTGGCCTGAACCCCTGCTCCTCGGGAATCTGTGAAGCCGCCTTCTGCGCATTCAGCAGAGCCCCTTCAAACGCCTCCTCCGTCCCTGTCTCATCCGCGCTGTTCAGAACAACAGAAAACGCCAGGAGGCCAAATACCAAGCCATAGATCTCTGCCTCTTTATACGGCAGCAGGATATCCTCTCAAAAACTGCCTGGCTTCTGCTGCTGCGCTGCAGCATAAGTATGTGCTGCCCGCCGCTCCTAACGGCTGCTGGTGGTGCTGCAGCGTTCGTCGTGGGCAAAGAGAGAGATCTGCTCACTGCACGTAAACAACGCCTGAGCGGCAACACGGGCAGCGGAAGCCTCGCGAGAAATCGACCGGAGACGTGCACCTGAAGACCCTCACTCATGTGACAGCTGCCGCTGCATACGTACGGCGCGCTATTGCGCAGGCGATTCTGTTTGTTTCCTCACCGTTCACACATACACTTGAAGTCCTTTGCACCTTCAAGCAGTTGCCGCCGGTGTGCGGTATTGCGCAGCATGTCATCTTCTGATAAGTACGTCAGCGTCACTTCATCTCCCGCTCTGAGCACAACTTCAAGCATCCCCCATGACAGAATCCGTTTCACGACAGTGTCGCCCATAGCAGCAGATGAGAGGCCATCAAACGCAGCGCACGCCTTCCCTCGTGCTTAGCGTCTCTGGACCTTACTTAAAAAAGCTAGCCCTAGCTGCGCCGAGCTGCTGCTTGTGTGTGTGGTGAGCTGCACAAGGACACGCTGAACAAGCTGTGTGCATTTTATCTTCGTTGCTACAAGGCCTCTCCGCACCGTATGGTGGAGCGGGGGAAGAAGCGGAAGTTCGAGTCGTTGTCCGTACACCAGAGGGCGTTGGGAAGGCACGAGTGAGAACAGAAAGAAGGCATAAAATAGATCGCGTAGCCTTCAGGCGACTGGTGGTGCTCAAAGCAGTTGTGCAGCCACACCTGCACAGCACTATCACAGATGGTGCCATTAGCCCACCCCCCCCCGGCCCCTTTGAATATGCACGCAACTTGCTTCGTTATCCTAAGGCAGCTCACTTGAATCATTATTTCCATGTCAATGTCCTCAACGATCCCTCGCAAGCCCATGCAGTCAACAAGAGTAACCGCTGCGAGTTGCAACCGCGTCCAGCGCAGCAACAACAGCAGCAGCATCAGTGGAAACGAGAACCACTCCGCCAAGCAACGGTGGTTGCCCTACACGTGAGTGTCCGTGTCCTACCTTCAGAGCTTGTCTTCACCGCCTCGGGTATAAAGAGAATACGCAGAAGGTCATACTGGCGGCGTGTTATCGCCTGCAAGCCCTCAACAGGCAGATCTCGGCCTTCTACCAAAACTGAATTCAGAGCGCACCAGTACCTGTGCATACAGCAGCCGGTTTTTGAAAGGGTGCCCCTTCTGTTTCACGCCGCATCAGCAAACAGCCGCTTCACGCCTAGGCGTGCATCGACAGCACCGCCACACGACTGCAGCGGCGAGAGCGTTGGCACCAGCTGCTTCTGCTACCTCTAAAGCAAAGGCCGGAGAATTCCTTTAGCTATTGCTGAGCTCACCAAATCGCTGGATGTGTGAACGAGCGCTGCTCACAGAGTTGCATCAACTTGGTGCATGCGGCATTTTCGGGATCGAGGCGGACTGCATGCAGTGGAGGCTCCTGCAGGATGAGTTCCCCGACTTGAAATGGTCGGGTGGCGCGCAGAGTGCGGCCTTTTCGTGAATCAATTGTACAAACGAGCTTGCCTTGGTGGTGTTCGCTGCAGTAGTTGTTTATTAGGGCTGTTGACTCCACAGCAGACAGCAGCGAAGGCCGCGCCATATTCTCTTTCCCTCTTATTCCTCTCTATCTACACCTCGTGAGAGCTAAAACGACAACCAGATCAGCTGCAGATACACCCCAAACAATCCAGCCCACCCACCCAACACTAACTACACAGTTCAGTTAGTGCAGTGACTAGCCAAGGGGGGCGGCGCGCATGGAGGAAAGTCGCCTTTGTGTCACTGCATGCGGCAGTAAATATTTGAAAAATGAACAAATCAACAATGCTGAATTCGTTAACGACACTTCCAACGGAGCAAAGCACTCAGCAGACTGTGGGGCTGAATGACTGCCGTGGCGGGGCGAGGCCAAGAAGACAGGTCCCTGACAACACCCAGAGTTGTGTGTCTGTTGCTTTTCTTTTCATTCTTCATTGCTTATTTACCAACAACTTGTTGCAGAGAAAGTGTAGTGCGCAACAACTTCTGCAAAATACAGGCTCAAGGGCCACTGGCTCACGCCGGCGTTTCGGGAGGCGTGCCGACTACTGACCCCTGCACCGCATTGCAGTTGTTTTGTTCTTCTTTCCATTTGAATAAACAATGCTCAGACATTGGCTTGTGTGCGTGTTGGTGTGATGCACCGCCTGAGCGCAAGAATATGCAGGCTGCTGAGGGGACCATCTCTCAGTCGAAATGTCAACACGACAAGAATGCATACGGAGAGGCCTTGTGCTGATTTTCTCGGGGCCTCCAGGTTCCGGCAAAGGGACATACGGAAAGGTATTGGCGAGACGGTGGGGAATACGCCACGTCTCTATAGGCGATCTGATTAGAGCAAAGCTCGCCGCGTGCAGCTCTCGTGCATCTGTGAATCAATCGAGAGACAGCTATCTTCGTCAGGACGAAGAAGCATTTCGAGTATCCAAGTGCTGTGTTGAACAGGGGCTTTTGATTCACGATTCTGTTGCAACCGAGCTCTGCAAAAAACACATGGGCAGCTCTGCACAAAAATCCTCTTGGATCCTTGACGGGTTCCCCCGAAATATGCAGCAGGCGGAAGCGCTCCACAGCTTTGCGCCGCCGGATGCATGCATTAATTTTCATCTACCTGCTGAAATCCTTCTGAAGAAGCTCTTGGGAAGGAGAATTTGCACAACTTGCGGGGAAAGTTTCAACGTGGCAGACATCTACGACCCACCGTTCAGTCTGCCAGCCATACTTCCTGAGAAAGACTGTGTGCACTGCGGAGGAAAGACACAACTAGCCAAACGCCAGGATGACACGAAGGAAATTATTCAGAAAAGGCTTGACTTGCACGAGCAACTCACCACCCCCATGCTAAATCACTACAACGCCGAAGGCTTATTGTTGAATTTTCACGTTGTGAAGGGCATTGCAGATATTCCAAGGCTTGAGGAAACAATCTTCTCGTTTCTGCAAAAGAAACGCCATAAACTGCAGTGGGACAAGACTCACTAGCGTGGGCACAAAAGCTCCCTCATGGGGATGCATGGTATCGAACACGTTGCAGATTCATTTCCTTTGGTTGTTCGCCAGTGCTCTCAAATGCGTATAACGTTTTCAAGCGAACACAGCAAAAAACGTTGGCTCCTTTCTCCCCCGTTGCTCCTGCTGTTTCAAGGCGATGGAAACAGCAAGTTCCGACGGTCAGCAGAGTGTATGCGCAGCTCGGGTTTCTAGACAACAGGCCGTATCAGCTGTGAAGCAACGACTGGGGTGAAAGTTGCATGGGGGATATTTGGGCGATTTTAACTTTATCTTTACTGGAAAATGCATTTCGGGCTGCTGGTGCTCGCTGGCCTGCTCCTTGCCGTTTCAAATACTTACGAAATTTCGCAGCGATCTGGCAGAATCCGGGCAGCCCACGATGAGGGAATTCGCCATTTGATTGAAAATGAAGGGGTGCAATACAGATTTGCTTTGCCGGATATGACAGGAAGTGACGAAAGAGAGGAGCCAAAACGTATGAAACTTGAAACACTCACGATCAGTGCATACACGGTTCACGCTACGCGACACCTGTTACAGGTCGAGGGACGACTATGCCAAAATTTGTTGAAGGTATTGAGTGTTCAGCTTTATTGCCTTAGCCTCTTCTCATTCGCACTATCATAAGTTCCCAGAGACGAGTACAACGACTTTAAACGATCTGTAAGGACTGCCGCTGCAGCTCGGGGCGCCTGTTCACCCCGTAAAGACCTCTTCTTAGGTTCAAGCCTTCACTAAATTGCTGAAGCCTGAAAGCATAAGTGCACTGAAACGGCTAACATCCGCGATCGTAAACGGATCGAGGGGAGAAGCGGACCTCCAGAGCTACGGTCACCCCGCTGACAAGCTCACGGTTAGTGCGCAGCGCAAACAAAGATGACACCACAACCCATGCACGCATGCTTGCATGCATTTGTACAAATATATGAAAAATGCCTGCTCTCAGCCCCTTGAGCAGTCCCCCTCGTCAGTTCGTCCCTCCTGGCCAGACCACAATGAGAGGAGCAACTCCAACACCTCGTGGGTAGAGCAGTTCCCCTCAGTCTTCCAAGCAGCAGCACTGCAGCAGCCGGTGCCTTTGCAGCAGCAACAGGAGCAGCAGCTACTGCAGCGCCTGTTGCACCAGCAGCAACTTGCAGGCATTCCCCATGCCGTGACAGTTCCCAGTCCTCTCCCCGCGTACATGCAGAGCACGCCTACAGCGCAGGTACCGTGTGTTTAGTTAACAACGTGTGCATTGTTATAGTTGCACATGTACATCATCTGTGGCTCTGCTTTCCCCCTCAGGAACTCAGCTTCAGGCAGTTCGCCACAGAAGCGTATCCGCCAGCGCCATACATCCAGCCAGCTGCACCTGCGACCTTTGCCGCTGAAACGTGAGCGCTTTGTTCTTTTCTTTCAAAGGCTTGTTTTGGTGCATGGAATGCTTTTTGCTGCAGACCGCTCGAGTTCACCAATCCCCTGCAGCTCGGTGCATTTGAATAGAAACGTTTGAGAAATTGCTGGTGCCGTCGTGCTCTACAGTGTACAGGCACAAGCAGTCAGCATCTTGTATTTCCGGCTTCAAAAACAGATCATATGCTTATAGACTTGCACATAGAAACTGCATTTAAATCCAATTTTCTTTATGGGAGCAATACTGGCGCAGGAATGCTGCAGCAAAATCCAAAACCGTAAAGCTGTATACCCTTAACTGGTGTCCAGACCGTCAACGCACATTCAAGAAGTCTAGGGTTTAGTTTAAGGATTAATAGGCATTTGGGCACATTGCGGTTTAAGACCGTTGACTTCTAAGCTAATACCATCAAACCAAAATGACCAGCCACCCAGCGGGAGGGGGGATCAGGGGTGTACTTGTTGTCTGCGTGCCTGCCTTTTTCCTTAGCTGTTTCTCAGTTTGCTTACTTCTTCGCTTCTTCCCTTCAACTGTCTCCGCTGTTTGCTCCTCTTGTTTGTTTTTTCTGATGGGTGCTGCGTCCTTGGCTTCCCTCGGTTTGTGCTGGTTTTGTTCCTTCGCTTTGTTTTCTTTATTCGTCATTAGTATATGGCTTTCTTATTGATGTTTGTTAGATGCATTTCTTTTAATACTTCTCCACTGCTTCTGCAGATATAACAGCGAACGAGCGGAGCGGTTTTAGTTTAAGATGAGGAGGGTCGGAACGAGAATTATTCTATTGGTTCGTCAACTCTTTGATAATCCAAACATCTATTCAAATGCCTGAGTTCGTGTCATTTTCTTCGACGAAAAGCAAATGCAGAGTTTTAGTCGTTAAACGTCAATAAATAGTAGAGCACGGGTGTTCGAGGCAGTGTAGCGTATAACGTGCGTCTTCCCCTCAATGGCACAGAACTGCTGCTTACACCGCTGCAGGCCATTGAGCTTGAATGTGCATTATTTGTTGTAATTGGTGTGCATTACACATCAAGGGCGGGCACCAGAATGCTTAGCTAGAGATGAGGGGCTGCGGGGTGTTGAACTCTGCTGCCACCGAGGTCTAGATGATCTGTTGAAATGTATCTGTTGAAATGTAGTCACTAAGGGAATTAATTAAAGAAGCCTGATGATAAACTCCGGCAGTTCTATCTGCCAGCAGTCACTTCTGAAACTGCCGATACTGTTGAAAGCAGAATCGGGAGCCGGTCTTGATGGCGGTTGCTATTAAGTCAGGGGGAGCATCTAGTTGACTCTACCATTAACTTTCGCATAATAATACGGGAGGTTTTGGTGTATTGTGGCTGTTTGAACTTATTTAGCGTTGTTCCCTTGGGCACGACCCAACACACACCGCGCCCGCCCGTTCGGGCAGGGCAGGCAGACCGAAGGCAGCGAAATGGAGGTAGAAACACCCACAGTGCACCAGCTGACTCTATTTTACAGCATTAAACCACAAAATATAAAGAACGTTATGAAAGCTTGAGTAAATTTTGATGGTTACAGCTTGCCATTAATCTCGTCAAGCACTGCTGCTGCTGTCGCTGCCGACTCCACGTCTCTCGACCTAGGGAAAGACGCGGAGGTAGGCGGCGGCAGCAGGCTGCCTGTGGGTTCGTCTGTGTTTTAGCAGTTCCAAATGTAATTTAAAAGAAGTTTTAACTGCAGTGTGCAAAAGTACGCGTAAATGAGGAGACAGATGCCTCAGCCCAGCTGTGCAGACAGCCGACGCCCCTGTGGGAGGCAGTCCGGTGCCCGTCGGGGCCTCGGGGTTGAATGGTATCTGTCGAATGCAAACTGAACGGAAAACAAAGAAAGAACAAAGAAAATAAAAGAATAGGAAGGGAGAACACAGGAAAACAATTTATTTCATCAGGGGACAGACGCAGCAAATGGGACGGGCTTACGGCGGGACGACGGCACGGCGGGAACGGACGATATCGGCAGTTAACGTCAGTAAACTACCGATTACCAGGTGCAGCTTGGGGTTGGTATACACTATTTACTACGCCGTCGCTTCATGTATCGTCTTCTCTCATTTGCCCGTTACGTCGCCGGGTGTACTCTCTGTGCCCCCTCCGTCAGCGCGCCTTCGCTCCCGACAGCTTAGCGATGATTCAATAGCTGTCTTCCTCCTCTTCCTCCCCGTCTCCTTTTGGTACAGCTGCAGCAGCAGCAGCAACTGCTGCTACGTGTCTGGCTGCTCCCCGGCCTGCTCCTTCTCTAGCGGCGATGTCGGGGCCCGTTGGGAGGCCCCCTGAGGGTTTGATGGGCAGTGCTCCTCGCAGCGTGTTTGCGCTGCGCACGGCGGAGTCAGGAGGCAGCAGCAGTAGCAGCAGAAGCAGCAGCAACAACCCCCGTCCACAACAGGCAGCCGCCTCCCAGTCCACCACGTCCTCCTCCCGCTTGGCGACCGCCTACCGCTCCTTTAAACTGTGGGTAGAGAATCTGCTTGTGACGGGTCTCAACCCCACAGTGGGCCACCTATCTAAAAGCTCCGTCCCTTCCGCAGTAGCGCCCTCGACAGGGGCGGCAGCGGGAGCAGCAGCAGGAGCTGCAGCAGCTTCTCCTGCTAACGGTAGCCCTACAGCATCAACCAAAAGCAAACGGGAAGGTAACCAGATATGTTCAGAGTTGAGCCGCTCTTGCTGCTCTTCTGCCACTCCATTCAGCCGAGACATCTCTCCCGATGTTGGGGGGCCCCTTAGGCGCCATCAAGCGACTGCTTCAGTGGGGGGCCCAGCAGAGGGGCCCCTCATCCCCCCTTTGGGGTCCTTGTCTGAAAACTTCTTACACCGTTCTGTGCGGAGCCAGACGGGCCCCGCGTATCTGCCATCACGCCTGCCATTCTCGTGCGTACGTACACCTGAGGGAAGGCCTCAGGAGTGCAGTGATTTGCGTGGGCGGTATTTTGTCTCTAAAGGTTCTAAGGAACACGATATGCGCTACGTGGATCTCTGCCCAGGAGTGTGCCCCCCGTCAAGCGAATGCACACCTCGGGAACCGGTTGTGTCTGGTGTATCTCCTTGTGCAGCAGACGCAGACGCTGCAGCAGCAACTGCAGCAGCAGCTGCGCGGCTCAGGAGTTGCTGCCTGAGTGGTCCAGCTGTTGCATGCCCTTCGCACAACCCTGAAGGAGCTCCCTTGATCCACAAGGCTTCTCTTCGAGGTCCCTGTCCGTGGGAACCCCAGACCGCCACTGCAGGGGCAGAGGGCCCAACACCTGTCCGCAAGCCGACATTTACACCTTTCGGTTCGTCTAGAGTTCGTTGGGAGGACGTAAAGGCGGACGTTTCCTTAGGGGCCCCTTTAGGGCCCCCGTGTGGGGTGCCTCGAGTGGGTGGTGTAGCAGGGCATCTGGTGCTGGATGACGGTGGAGCTGATGGCGCTGGCCGCTGGCAGCAACAGGGGCCTGGGAAGGAGGAGGCGGGGGGGGCCCTGGGGGCCCCTACATGCAGGCGGGCGGGGGATGGCGCTGGTGCTGCTGCATGCACCTGTGCATGTACAAGTGCATGCACAGATGTTCTTCGGGGGTCAACACGAAGCCCACGGGGTCTACATTCTGTGGAGCGACTTCTGTGGCGAATGAAGGGGAATTTCTCCTCTACATTTCGGTACGTCCTCGTGCTGGTCCTGCTGTTGCTATTGGTACTATCATCAGTTTTAGTTTAAATCGTTCATCGTGGGGCTGATGCCGCTCAGCTGTTTGTGCATTTGTGAGACGCTGCAGCTGTTGCTGTTGCTGAAGATGCGAGTGCTGGTGGCGGTTGGAATATGCTCCATTTCTCTTGTTCGCTTGTGGGTCTTGCATTTTGTTTTCTCTTGATATTCATTTTCTATTTGTGTGTGTAGCAGCTAGTTATATTCTTTACCTCCTCGGGTTGTCCTGCGTTGAGTATTGCTGTTCGTTTTCTGGGTTCAATTGGTGTTATTTGTTCCTATTGCTGGGTATGCGATAGATAAGATATATCTTATCTATATGTGGATCTCTCCGCCGTATTTTTGCTATGTATTTTTTTTGTTTTCTTTTCTTACTCGGGAGACTTCTAATTGATTTTAGGCGCTTTCCGTTTCCCCAGTCAGCTAAAATGCTTTCAACTACCCATTGGTTCACGTTAGTTCCCACTGCAGCAGCAACCGCAAATTTGTCACTCGCTCTGTGCTTTGTGCCTGCGCTGCTGCTGTGGATAATACAATGTTGGAATGCTGCTGCTGCGTAGGTAATCGCATGAACATCACGTGAGCAGCAGTTGCACTAACAGCTTCGGATATTTGTCTGAAGAGCAGCTGAAATACCACTATTATCGATTTGCTTAGACGGCAGCTGCAATGCATTTTTGTAAAAAGAAACAGTGTGAAGCCAAACATGAGGAAAATAGCTGAATGGTTTTTGCAGTGATTGGCTGCCAGGACGGTTTGTTGCTATTCACTGTGCGGTTCACCATCCTTTTCAACTCTATTGATTGCTTCCCCCTTGGGTTTTGTCGTTTTGCTTGCGATCGTCTGCATGCTTCTGGCATTCATATTTCCGTTCCCTGCATTCACCGTGTTGTTGTCTGTTGCTGCTCTCTTGCCTGCATTGCTGATCGGTGGTCTTCGTTAAGGTAGCATTTTATGATTCCTATAGATGCGTTTGCAGCTGATGAATGATGCAGCCTTCCATTCTGTTGCATTTCTTCCTCGTTCATGTTTCTGCTTTTCGGTATAGTAGGCGCCATGGGTTGTTGATGCCTATGGCATCAGAACGCAGCGTTATTCATTCTGTTTGTTTTGTTTCATGCATTTGCAGCAGCAGAACAAGCGGGGGTGAGAGCCGCCTGCACTATTCTCAGGAACATTCTGCCAACTCTGCTGCGGCTTCGGGGGCCGCCCGCAGCGGCATTTATAAGGAAGAGGGGTTCGTGCACGGCTTGAACAGCGTCTTGAGTGTGCGCTTCAGCAACACCAACAGCCGGACCAACACAAACACCCACACTCACACAAATATACACACAAACAGCACCAACAACTGCAACAGCAACAACAGCAGCAGCAGCACCAACCATCTCAAGAATTCTCCCCGCCATAATTTCTCGCTTGTCTTCAAGGACCCCGAAGTAGAGACGGCCTATGGTGAATTTTTGAGAAAGGCGCGCGCGAAACGCCTGGTGGTGGTGGGCATTTTGACAATTGTTTTGAATACCCTCTACGACTTACCCGAATGGACTGCCATCTTCACCTCTCCGCTGATGGAACAAAGCCCCTCCGACGCCACCGACAGCCTTTCAGCAGCAGCAGCAGCAAAGGCGCAACAGCCGCATGCGAGCAGCCTCTCAACGGGGCTTTTGTTGGCTTTGGATGTCGTTGAAGTATTGCTGCAGGTTGTTCTGGCTGCTGCTGGCTATTTGCCAGTGCTGAAGAGACACACGGAACGCGCCGCTGTTTCTCTGATGTTATCTGCCTTCTTTCTCAGCACCATTCGCCCCGCTACGCTGCTCTTAAAGAACAACCAAACGACAGCCCCGCCCCTCACTTCCTACACAACCGACGTATTTCCACACAAATCTGCCACCAATTGCCGGCTGGGCGTGAATGTGAATGCCTACAGATTATATGCATGCGATGTTTATTGGGTGGTTTAAGGCCTAGGCTCGATTTTAGTTTTCGTGCTTGTTGTTGTTTCGTGTGTTGTTTGCAGACGCTGTTGCTGCCCGTCCAAGCAATAATGACATCGACGTTTCTGCGGAGTATCGTGGGTAGCGTGTTAATAGATGCAGTGTGTTTGGTGCGGCGGCGCATGCTAATGCACTACCATAAGTTGATGCTGCTGCTGCTGCTGCTGCTCCTGACAGCATGCACGGTGGGGGGCGTGAAGATGGGTTTCCCCTTCTCCTTTCTTGTTTTCACCTGGACTGTGGGGCTGGCGAGCTGCATCGTCATTGGTGCTTCTTACGCAGGCGCGTACATGGGGGAGTTGATGCACAGGCGTGCCTTTCTGAGCGTTGCTGCTGTGTCAGCGAAGCTGCAGATGCTACAACAGGAGAGCAGCAACCAAAAGGCGACAGGGAAGAACATGCTGGAGCAGCTCGTGGGGCTGGTGAAGCAAATGGGGGTTTCTCTCAGCGCTGTAGACCCGACGCCCCTCGACAAAACTGCAAAAGAAACCTTCCTCTACGTCTGCGCTGTACAGGCCAAATGCCTCGATGTACTTACCAGCGGAAGAAATATGTATGCAGTTAATTGGCTAGCCCCCGATGTCCCCCCAGATGTTCAGCAGCTGTACAGACAGTTTATTGAACCCTACATCAGGCAGGATTCCGCACCTCTCCACACGCAGGATAATCAGTCAGCCGTAAACGCTTCAACTCCCCACAACTTACCCTCTCAAACTAAAACCCTCACTCACGCTGTCTCGACACCCCTTGCTGCTGCTCCCCTAACGACAGCCCCAGCAGCAGCAGCATCAGCAGCAGCAGCAGCACCAGCAGCAGCTGGTACTGCGACACCAACTCTGTCCTTAGCACAGTCCTCACAAGCCATTTCCCAACCCCAAGCGCCCCAAGCCTCTGCGTCCCCTGCAGACGCACCCTCAACAACAGCACCCTCAGCAGCAGCACCAGCACCGGCACAGCCTGCAGCAGCGGCACCTTCTGTAGCAGCAGCGGCAACAGCAACAACAGCAGCAGCAGCATTTCGGCCGATCCCTCTGCCTCTGCGCGAGGGCGTCCGTCTGCCCGAAGTGGAGTCTGAAGCCTTCATACCCCCAATGCATTATTGCGAGGCAAAGAAAAATCCGCTTCCCAACGCACAACCAGATGAACCAAAAGCCCCTTCCCCTCCACAAGCAGCAGCAGAAACACCAGCAGAAACGACAGCACCTGATGTTGCTGCTGCGGCTGATCCTGCTGTAGGAACTCCAGCTGTTGCGGGAAACACAGCTGGCCTACACAAGCGGGAAGAACAAAGCGGGGCAAAACCACTTCATAACTTGGAAGACCCCATCCCGCAAAAGGATCATCAGGCGGGGAATGTAGCAACGGGAGCTGCGCCAGCGGCCCCCGCACCCAGCGAGGCAACAGCAGCAGCAGTAGCAGAATCAGCAGAGCCACCAGCACCAGCACCAGCCGCAGATACAGGGGCACAGCAACTTCAATGTCCTGCCGGAGAGGCTCCTCCTTGGGAGGGGGCGTTTGCAGGTTCAGAAGGGGTGGTAGAGGCGGCCTTCCAAAATCCTACACTCAGCACAGTCGCTGCGGCCACTGGCGTCGAATGGACCATCGATATGTTCGCCGTAGACCAGTCCACTAACGGAAATGTAAAACAAACCTATACAAATATATATATATATATATATATATATACTATATGCATATGTGTGCACGTATACGTATTACATGTATATATTGATAGGTGAGTCTAGGAATATACGCATGTATGCATCAGCTGCTCACGCATATATATATATATATATATATATTTGTATTTTTAGATATGTGCGTCTATGCCTACACATAGCTGCTGCTTCTGCATCGTTGTGGGCTTTCTCACACAGTCCTACGCATGGATGTCGTGTTTGTACTTCCTGTCAATCTGTGTTCCTACTCAAGAAACGTTGAACAGTAGTTGATTGAAGTCATGCTCATCTTGTAGTATGCAGCTTTTGAGCGGGACTTCTCACGGTTTGTTTGCATTCCTGAATGCATGTGTTTGTGCGTCTGTTGTCAGTGCATGCTCTTTGTTGGTCTCCAGCTGCTTCTGCCCCACCTACAGCAGCACCGCGGCTTAAGCTGTTCATTTGCAGCCCTCTGCGCCTTCCTCAAAGCCCTACAGGCTCAGTACCTCCCCAACCTCTACCACAATCGCATGCATGCAGCTCTTGTAGCACACTTCTCCGTCTTGTTAGCAAGAAGTTCTAACCTATACCCAACGTTCCCACGTCGCCTCGGCACGCCCGCTGAAGCGCTGCTGGCGTCCGCCCCCTCCCTACATACCGGACCCGGAGGGGGGGTCTTGGGGGGCCCCCCACCAGCTGGGCCCAGCAGCATGACGTGCAAGGATGGCTATTCGCGAGAAGAGTCGTTGCTGCTTCCCAGCTGCAGCTTGGGGACACAGGCGGATGTGCATGCAGGTGGAGTCCAGCGACGAGCTGCTGTAGATGATGAAGTTGTGATTTGCATTGCAGCGCTCGGCCACGATGTGGGGCACCCTGGGTTGAATAACGCATTTCTTGTGTCTACGAATCAATCGCTTGCCCTCGTGTATAACGACAACGCCGTCTTAGAGAATTTTCACGCATACAAAACATTTAAAACCCTCGCCGATACCGCCGATGTCGATGGAGGCGTTCTGAAGGTAACAACAAAATGCAACCACAGAAAACAACAAGCGCACCAATAAGAGCGCAGCAGCAAAAGCTGCAGCGCATTAAACCAACAGAAAAAGTGGCAACTATTCCTGCAGAAACTGCAGCATCTGCTTCCCTCCGTTGCTTCTGAACAGCTGTTACCCATGCCACCGTGCATCAGAAGGGAAAGCTATGAACAAGAAGGGCTTGACGACCATCCCACCACATATGGTGGGATACCCTTGAAAGTGATTGACGCTGTATGCGCAGTTGAGGAGACTGCTTTCTCTGTTGTATTTCAGGGTTTGTCTTTAGGGGGTTATCGTCAGTTGCGGCGTCAGGTCATTGAGTTGATCCTTTCTACAGACATGGCGCAGCATTTCCCGATTTTGTCTTCTTTCCGTGCTCGCATCGCCTCGCAGACATTCTCCGTTGCCTCAAACGAAGAGGACAAATGGATGCTAGCAAAACTCTTCATAAAAGCCGGAGATATCGGGCACTCTATGCTGGCTTGGGAACAGCACTACGTATGGGCGTGCCGCGTCAATGAGGAGTTTTACGCACAAGTACGTTAACTGTTGTGCACACAACACCCACATGATTGCATCCCTCTGAGCCTATGCGTGGATACACCTCAACAGCGGCGAAGAGCAGAAATCCAAAGCTTCACAAATGCCTCCGTTGCCCTCCGCCACTTCTTCTAGCCGCTGCACCGCAGCGTTTGCGGCTTGACAGAGAAAACTTTGGTCTGAGGATGGAAAGAATAAATTGCATCATTTGTCAGTCAAGGATTGCTGTGCCAAAACCAGTTCACAGCTATGTATGAAAAACGGCATTCAATGAGATGTATATAAGCCAGCAACGCAATTAAGTGGGCTCACTACCCAGCAATACTTCAATACGCCAATAAAATAACAGCACGAACAGAAAAACGTGCATCAGCTCCATAAAAAGTGAAGCATAATAATACGCAGAATCAATACGTCCAGTTAACAAATGCATGAATATCTGCATAAGGACGCATGCATCAACAAATCGGGGCATGCATGTTTGCCAGAAAGATAGGAAACACAAAACGCATGGAACATGAACAATTGCATGAAGATATTGCTAAGTAGATGCATAGCAAACACACAATATGAACAGTATAAAGCCCCGCAACACTATGTGTTGTTTGCAGGGAGATGTGGAGGAGAATTTGGGTTTGGGCATTTCTCCGCTTTGTGACCGCCGCAAGGCCGCTGAAATGCCGGCGGCTCAGTGCGGCTTTTTAGAATACATCGTGCTACCTCTAGTAGGGGAAATAAGATCATGTTTTGAGCAGCAGCTGACCCAACATCATCAACAACAGCAGCAGCAACAACAACATCAACAGCAACAGCATCAGCAGCAGCAACAGCAACAGGCTTTGTCTACTGCGTGGTCTCTTGTAGAGCCTGCCTGCGCCGGCCTGCATGTGATAGAAGGCATCATTGGCCACGCCAATTATAATCTCAGGTGTTGGAAAAGTCTGGCGAATGCCCCTACCCCGCCTCCTGCAGCAACTCCTACTGCCTCTTCAGAACCCCTTAGCGCAGCAACAGAGAGAGTAGGCAGCCTCACGGACACGGGACGGCATGCATCAGCGGCTTTTACAGTTTCTACTGTGGCAAATGCAGCTCAGGCGCAGCAGCAACAGCAGCAGCAATCTAAGTAATCTCTCCATCGCGCTGAGAAAAGACGCAGCACGTCTAGCAGTCTGCAGGCGACGGTTTTAGAGGGAAGGAGGAAGTGCTCTCTAACAATTGAGAGCAGCAAAAGAGTAGCAACGGAAGCTTTTGCTTGGGCTGCGGATTTGCTGCTCGACTGGTGTAACTACAGGAAGAAATTCCCCCATCCCCCATCAGCGTGGAGGACTGGGGTGTACGTATACCTCAAATTTATTTATTTGTCCTAGTTTGAAACAGACTGCCTATACGCACGCAAATGGTAAAGAATGAAATGGAAAGACCCGCAACGCACCGCTTTCTAGGCAGAGAAGCGGTACGCGTGCATCCATGCACACAAACGCCGATGTATGCCTATATTTTGGATAAACTGCATATTTGTTTTCGCAACATTGAACTCTCTAGTGGCCAGTTCGTGAGCGATATACCCTTGGGCGTTAAATGAGGTTAGTACTTGTTTGGAGCCCGGCGCGCTAGCCCTCTGCCAGCTGAACGGCTATCTAGTTAGCTAGCTAGCCAGCCAGGCTCTAGGACTAAAACAAAGAGGCCTCCACTGGGCCTGGCAGAGGGCAAAAAAGCCGTGGTTGCACACCAGGAGGAGAAAGCAGCGCCCCAATGCGCTGCAGCAGCTGCTGCCGCTGCGTGTCCCTGCAGCTATTGCTGCAGGTGCGGATGCCCGCCGCTGCAGATCCTGCTGCCTCACTGCTGCAGCTGCTGCTGTTGCATGGCTTGCCGTTGCCTCCCCTCGATTTGGGCAGTTCCTCCAGAGCCACACGTATATATTATATATGTATGTGTACATTTATACATTATATACATTATATATATACAATCCGTCCGGAGAGAGATCGATACACATAAAAGATCTAATATATACACTATATACACAATCTACGTAACATAGAATTGTATTGATCTGCAGGTTGTTCTTTATGATGTAATTGCCCGCTATTAAAAAGGAAAGGCCGAATGAATCGGAGAGAACCACGTGACAGAAGGTGTTTCCTTTGTTGTTCGTATATTTGCCTGGTGTTTGTGCTTTTAAACACGAATGCATTTATGTTTACTTCGAATGTGGTGATGATTCGCTTGTTTGTCTGTCGGTCATCAGTACCAAGTCTTTTCGTCTTTATCCCAGAAGACGTGATTATTGGGAAATTCGGGTTGTGGGTAGGGAGGCAGTCTGGCGACCTGGCACTTGGGGGTCTGTTTGTGGTAGAACTCGGAGCGGTAAATGCTTTCTCCTTCAAAAGGCAGCGACTGAGGTAACTCCACCTTCTGAGGGGCCACAGGCGGAGGCAAAGGCTTGGGTCCGAATTCTTCTCTGTACGCACTCGTTCCTCTAAAAGGGAGCGACACTGGAGTCGGGGGTGCTTCCACAGGCGTCCGTTCAGGCAACGGCTTCGCGCAGTAGTCCGATCTGAAGAAGAAAGGACAAGAGAAAAAGGGAGACTATGCAGTCAGGGGAGAATATTCGAATATATAGATATATGAATATTTTCAGAGGTAAATACCCAACTAGAATAGCGGGGGATAGAATGAGGCAGCTGCACCAGCAAAGTATAAGAGAATACACGGAGGGAAAGACGCCACTCGAGCATTGGTGAATATAAGAAGGTAAATGCACCAATAGAATATATGACTATATACCGAGGGAAATGTACATGTACAACGTGAAGTTTAGCACATACAGAAACACATGCACTTCAGCTGTGCAGTTCAGGCTTTTTCTTGTATTTTTTTGAGTGGTGTTTGAATGCAGCAATATCTCAATCTGCAGCATATTGCAACGATCCTGATGCAGTTTAGCTGCTGTGTACCTGTAAGAGGAGCTGGCTTCGAAAGGCAGTGAGGGCTGCGCTTGAATTTCCGCGGGTTTTATGGGGGGAGGAAGGGGCTTGGGCCCGTAGTCAGTGCGGTAAGCTGTTGTTGCTTCAAAAGGAAGAGAGGCAGGCATCGTAACAGAGGAGGTCTTGGGAGGGGGAGGGAGGGGCTTGGGCCCATACTCTGTTCTGTAGCTGCTCTCGCCTTCAAAAGGAAGAGAAGGAGGCAGCGTCACTGGCGCCTGCTGCACCCTTTGAACACACAGAACAAAAATAAAAAGGAGGAATGGGGATAATGGGAAGAACATCAAAATAACGGGAGGCAGACGACGTTCAGGGGAACGGCGACTGACAGGCACGCCAATCAGCATCAGCGACAACAGAAAGAACAGGAAGCTACGAAGAGAAACAAACCAACGAACTAGCAACACCCGGCAACAGCAACGCGAAGCAACGAGAAACAACTAACTACCACCAAAAACACCAAGGCGGAAAACCCAGGCACAGCAGTTACGTAACACAGTGGGGGCAAAACAATGCACCCGTAATACTGACACGGATCCGCATGCAAATAAGCAACCAGCGGCATCCTCAAGTATGTCTCTCTCCTATCAGTGTGTCACCTCTCCTTCGCAGTCAGTTGAGCTTCACTTTCTTTATACATAAAAGGCAGTGCGGGTCTTACGGTGCGGGTAGCGGTTTAGGTCCGTATTCCTGTCTGTACACCGAGTTTCCCTCAAAGGGAACAGACGGCCTCGAGGGAATGCACTTGTGCTGTCCGCACGTGCAGAGCTCATCTACACAATAACCGGGGCGGCGAGAGGGGCTGCGGGCCCTGTGAGCCTCATCCACCTCAGACAAACGCAGACGACGGGCAGGCACTTCTCCTGGGGCAGCCACTCGAGAGGAAACGAGGTGGGTCTCAGGTCCTCCTGCTGCTGGTGGAGAAGGTGGAGAAGCAGCAGTGTTGCTGCCTTTTGCAGGAAGAAGGACGCTGGGTGCCTGCATCGTTGCAGCTGCCGATGTACTAGCAAACTACCCTGTGTTGTTGGCGCTGTGGCAGGCGGCTTGTATGGTAGTACAAAGCTGGACGTGCTGCCCCTTCTTGGAGAAAGAAGGGCAACAAAGAAGAGAATAGAAATATAAAGGGGGTAGTGAGTAACAATGTGGCAGGAAAAGCAGCACAGCACGACACTGCAGTCGATTCAGAGGCTGACACGAGGCCGCCGGGCTGAAGAAGATGCCGCAATACGCAACGAAAAAGACGACAACACAAACCGGTTGCATCTAATGAGTTAATTGGGGGCTTTTTTGCTTTTAATTTCCACAAGTATCCCTAGAAATACAGGAGAAGATGCACCCACTCAAACCACCGCTACAGCTTGCTAGCCGCCGACTACCGCATCGGCCGCTGCTCGCCTGGTCTGGCGGCGGTGGCTGCTGCAACGCAGGCTGCTTCTTTCCCCTCCCCTTTCCCCTTACAAAGTTTGTTTTTATTCTTGTTTTTTTGTATTGGACGCGATTCATTAGCAGCTCCAAGTAGTGCTGCAGAAACCTATGGCTACCTAACACCATGCTGCCGCGCCTGCGCTTGCTGTCCTCGAAAGCTCACAGAGCGCCCCAACGCAGTCCCTTCCTGTTCTGGGCTTGAATATATAAATATAAAAAAGGAGATAAAACAAGTGGAATTATTTTTCATTCTCATCTCCATCTGATCGCCAAGTGTTCACCTCTTCGATGTTGGCCCAGCGATCATCACACACACTCGACCCATGGAACAGTGACGGAGGAGCATTGAATTCGAACCCCGAAAACATGCATAAAAATGAGAAGTCATTTAATTTTAAGTATTCTAGGACAAATATCTAGGAAAAGGTCTCTAAAAGCGTTGCGTTGCTCCACTATCTAACCCTCAACTGCTCACGGGTCACCTCCCATCCCCTCCCAGAACCCGAATTGCTGCGCGGTGACAGCCGAAATAAATAAGAAAGTAAACTGGTAAACTGACGCTCTGCAAGTGCAGAAGAAGAGTGCAGTTGTCCCGAGGCAGCAGCAAGGGGTCCAACAAGCCCCTCAACTGCCACAAGGTCCAACACCCTCGTATTCGTCAGAGTAATAATGCATGGAGACCATTCTTCACCAGAACATCGTGTCAATGAAACGCAGCAGCTCAACTACCGGAGATGCCGCAAGCCATACTGCTGTTGCAGCACATCGTGCTGCTGCTGCTGCAGTATATTATTGCTGTTGCGCTGGTGCTAGTTAGCAATCGCAACGCACGCAAATTGAACGACGCACTTTATCGGTGGATGTCGTCGAGGCAACACAATTTAGTTCCCTGAAAAGAGTCATACCCACAGGCACTAGTAGTATTAATTACTATTGAAAATCGACATAATTATGGTAACTATTACTATTGTTACTAGTATAATAGTTATAATCTAGCTGATTCGCTCATTGCTAGAAACTGGCGTTACCCCCGTAACCCGTTGCTTTGCTAAAGAAATGAACGTTGTGCCCACGCAAACTTAATATATATATGTATATATATATATATATATATATATATATATATACGTATATGTATCTGTATCCACTGCTGGCCCCCCACTAAGGAGGCCCTTGTTCCGCCACTACACCCCGCACCAGCAGAACGCCGAGCAAGCGAAGCAAGCGTAAGGTAGTTTGCAGTACATTATGAATGTGTCCGTAAACTAAAGCAACAATTTAAGGAGCTCTTCTCATGATCAGCAGCCTCTTTCTGCTCCCTCTGCCCCTCTTTCTGTCGTTCTTATGAAGCGCAGTGACAAGGAAGAATATTGAAAGGAAACAATATTAAATAATATTGAAGTCAGGTTTGGAGAGTTTGGGGTGTATGCACGTACACCCCACTGCACGCATTCATGCATGTAAGCGTGCATGCATGCTTGCATGCAGCAAAGCTACACCAAGGGAACGTCAGACCTGCTGCGCTCCATGAGCATCTCCTGCAGTTCCACGCAAATGCAGAAAGCATACAAAAACCACCAAGAATAAACATTACCGTACACTGACAGAAAAAACTGAATTGGCTACTGAGACAGAAAGACGGACTGATTTATCGTTTGTGAAGGCAGGAACAGTGAATGATTTCTCTCTGCCCGTGTACCTGCTGCCGCAGCTGGAGACCTTCTTGACGCATCGGTTGTGCAGCTCTCAGCACCGCTATCTACTTCTCCTCCTTCCTCCAACCCGCAGCAAGTACTGCAGGGGGAGGCGCAAATGGGGGCCTTGCAATTCGGGCAAACGGCGTTCCGCAACAGCCAAATGTCGATACAGCTGAACACAAAGAAGATAAATGCGTATAATTGTTGGCATGTTACATGCATACGTACATGTACAGACATGCACACACACATGCACAAAAATATGTGATATATATATATATATATACAATGCCGGAAAAATTGGCCGTATACATACTCGTAGGAGTGTACGTATGCTCATGTATGTAGTCCCTGCTATACGCATAATCAAAACCCATCCCACACCCACCCACGCGCACTAGGCCCTAACCGCATACGCATGCGGTGGCAAACCGCAAGTCCTAACCCAAACACCAATCACTAAACCCTAGGCCCTAAACCCTAGTCCTTCGAACTCACCTTTTATGGAAGATGTGCCCACATGCCTGCAAAACTCTCACGTATTCGTCTTGTGCGAATTCTTCAAGACAAATTGAACAGGGCATCATCTCCACAGGATCATAATTCAGCTTTTGGCAAGGAAGGCGGCGGATTTGATCTGAAGAAGAAAAAAGCAGAAGAAAATAAGTCTAATCATCTTAACAAAATAGACGGTCCAGAAAAATTTAATAATACAGAGACAACAACGAAGAAGGGGGATTGCTTTCACTTAGACAAAACAAAACAACGGCATTTTGAGCATTTACGCAAAAACCAAAATAGTGCATTTCCGAACTCAAACGAAACAGGAGATCCTAATGATATAATGTCCCACGATATACAAAAGAAACACTGCCATATGAAACAAACAGCATGTAAACCAAAAGCACAAAGAGCGACAAATACAACAGAAAACATGCAAAAGGAATTCGGGGAGTGCAGCGGAGAACCAACAGCAGAGATGAAAACAAATGAATTAAGCAAGTCCAAAGGCCATACAAGCAACACATAACACAGGGAAAGCATTACAAACGTAAAATGGTGACAGAGCATTAAACTCGGGTGAAATCCAGCAAAGGAAAGCCGCATTCTTTGCATGTGTGCATGCGTGCACAAATGCATGCGGTAAATGCATAAATGCATGCATGCGTACGTGCGTACTCAACGTCTGCAAGCAAGTATGCACGCCCATATGCATTGAACGCCTGCATGCACGCATTAATGCTTATGCATTTAGCATCTGCATGCATGCATGCATTCAGGTGTGTATCCCACGTCTTCAAAGCACTCCATGCTCGTGTGCTTGCACGCATGAATTCAAGCATGCGTTCATGCAAGCATGCAGACCGACCTGTTGTAAGGCCTCTGCGGAAAATGTAAATTCCGTACTCCGAGAAGACGCGGACGCGGCCCCATCTACAGATAACGGAGAAACTCAAATGGTGGATGCGTGTAGGCATGAGAGGTTGGTTCTTTATTGCTACTGCTGACATGTGGTCAAACAACCAACGAATGTGGACACCCCATAATACTACGCAAGCATATAATATATATATATATATATATATAAATGCGTAGATATATAACTCAATCTGAATAACGGGCCTTCCATCGAAATCACTCAAGCCCATATCCCTTGTGCAGCAAACGCATGCAAATAGAGGAAGGAGAAAAGGGGGGAAAGAAGCAGCAGACTCTCAATTAAACCGCAGGAAAAAGGAAGAAGCAACGAAATGCACGCAGGGGAAATAAACCAACCCGATAACCGACAGAAGGGAGCAGCCACGGAAATAATGGCCTCATATGGCTTTATGAACAGAGAACAACTGGGGCAGCGTTTCTTCTTTTCTCAATTTACCTCCTTATCATATCCTCATTTTGCAACAGACGGAGGTCCGCCTCCATTCGCCGGGCTCGGTACTCAAAGACAGCGGCCATGACTTGAAAGGGAGCAGCAAAAAGAAAAGAAAAACACAGTATCAAATTTCCCTGTCTTCTCCTCCATTCCACGCATGCATTTACATATTGTAAAATATGTAGTATATTACAATATGTAAATGCGTGCATGCATAAAAGGAGGGGAGGGCCCTGACATGTTTGAGTTTGCAGTGGTCGCTGGTGCTGCATTTGCATAGCAAATAATATTGTAATAACCACACCAATACAAACGGACCCTTCTCCTCACACTGAATCATCCAAAGCTGTTGAAATTAAGGAGAAAATTAAAGGCGAGCATTTAAAAAAGTCACCGGTATGCATACGGTTCAGGTGTATATACAGACAGCGCACTGCAATTTTTTCCTTCGTGTTTTCTCACCAATAAAAACGATGTATATCAGAATCCATACGTAACACAAAGCCAGCCAGAAAGTGAAGAACCAAGGGTGGCTCTCTCGGGGCAACTGCGAGCCCAACAAACGCAAGAAAACAAAGGAAGACTACCAAGGCAAAACAAGAATACGCAACAAAAAAAGTCAGAATACGCACAAACGAAAAGAACAGTACCAAAAACTACATAAACAGAAAATTCTGTTCATCCCTTTCGCTCGGATGCACTTTAGTTGCCGCACTGGTTCCGGTTGAGGCCAAATGCACCGAAAGCAAAGTATGCAAATAATCTGCATATGTGTGCATGGATGTATACACGTATATATATACGTGTATACATCCATGTACACATATGC